CCTATACGTAGTGGTCCTGGCTTGGAACGTTAGTTACATATGAACGTGGGACTCTGGTCACTCCTATCCGTAGTGGCCCCAGCTTGGAACGTTAGTTACATATTAACGTGGGACTCTGGTCACTCCTATCCGTAGTGGTCCCGGCTTGGAAAGAGTAGCCCAAGAGTTGGCGGTGGGTGGTGATGACTAGCTGCCTTCCCTCTAGTCTTACACTGCTAAATTAGGAACGGCTAGCGCAGATAGCCCTCGTATAGCTTTGCGCGAAATTAAAAAACAAACAAACAAACACTTTTAGCTCGTTTGTATTTCAAACATTGAACATCGATAACCAATACTAGATGTGGCAGAAACCTAAATAAACTGCAAGCAAAGTTTGAGTTAAATATGTCTTAAAAACTCATCATAAATACGGTTGCAAATCAGATTTACCAGTGCTGAAGCAATTATAAAATATACAGAAAAGTATATTTATAGAGATTTACAACTTTATGAAGCAATAATAAAAAAGCCTTAAAGGCTATAAAACCTTCACACTTGACACAAAAACAAATAGTAAACTCATAGACTTCACGTTTTGTTTTTAATTATGCACAAAGCTACACAAGGGCTATCTGTGCTCTGCCCTTCACGGGTATCGAAACCCGGTTTCTAGCGTTGTAAGTCCGCAGACATACCGCTGTGCCACTGGGGGGTTAGACTTTACGAGTTATATCTGTACATTTTATTATTGCTTCATAAAGTCGTAAACATCTATAAATATACTGTTCTGTATATTCTATTATTGTTTCATAAAGTCGTAAATCTCTATAAATATACTTTTCTGTACAATAACGTAAATAACACATTCAATGAATAGACGATAATCAGTTTTTTGTTCTAGGTTCATATATCCATTTAATACAAGTTTTCGGCTGCTAGTCTACTAAACTAAACTGAATACAAAATATAATCAACCACTTAGACAACACAGAATGAAAGACGAGCACCAAGAATCATACAATATTGTAACTATGAAACAATATCAGCTGCTTATGTAAAGACTGTGATAACACAATTACTAAAAATTTCTGTACTGAGCTAGACAAGCTATTATAACGGCTATGAAACTTTCATCTGATTTATTTTACAAAAAAATATCAAATATGGCTAACATGTTTTAGAATTTTCTAATTCAATCCAAAACATATTTTCTAATGATCGTTAAATAAAAACAATTCTGATTAAAATTGTTCGCTAAAATAATGATTACAAGGCTCGCTGTCTAAGCAGTGCAAGTATTACTTTTACTTATTTTGATATAATGATATGCGGGAATGGCCATCGTCAGAGGCAGATTGTATGGAATTTGAATTCATGTTCATCTTTGATCATGCCGTTTAACCACTTCAAAGAATTTCGATAGTTTAAATTTTCCATATTTCTTCAGCTTGTAAATGTAATGGAAGATCATCGACGTGTTACTTTGACCCGGACTTGTATAAAGAGACGGGACAAGGAGGTCACTGTAAAAACTGCCAAGGTGACACCGAAGGACCTCACTGTGAACGATGCAAGGACAACTTCTTTATGAAAGATGGTCAGTGCACTCCGTGTCTATGTGACTTAAAAGGTGGGTATAAATCACAAAATGTCACTAAGTTTTATTTCTGAACAACAGTATTTAAGCCTAACAATGATAAGCAAATACGGAGTCTAAATATTTATGGAAAATAAAATCTTATAAAAAAACCACTAAAATATTTGAAAGCGTAATAAATGAAACGTCATGGTATATACTTTGTATGTGTATTGAAAGAAGGTGCCATTTTTCAAAGAGGAAATCTAACTATTAAATTTAGGGTTAAAATTTCTTGAATTATTTGGATTTTGTGATAAAACGTGTTGTAATAAAAACTGTTCGTAATATTTGTAATAGTACAAATTCTTACAATTCTGCAGGCAGTATGAATTTTATTATATGGATATTAAAATATATTTTATATTTGTATATGACATACAAAACTGCTGCCATATTCCTGCTTGAAAAGTTTGTGCACTCTTTGATTTTTCAATCTAAAATGTAAGAAAATGTTTCAATTTACGTGTAAAATATTATTTTTATATAAGTAAATATTAGCTAGATAAAATTGACTTGTTGTTGTTGTATTGATGTAGTTAGTTGCTTTATTTTTTAATGAAATATCTTTAGTACATTTTAAATTATTGTGATAGCTAGTTCAAGTTATGAAAACAATGAAATGGAAAAACATATTTTTAAAAATCAAAAGCACCAGGTGTCACTACCCAGCTCAGAGTAAGTAAGAGGAATTTTCCCTTGTACAGGACTACTGATGAGGAAGTAATTAGCCATTGTACAGGACTACTGATGAGGAAGGAATTAGCCCTTGTACAGGACTACTGATGAGGAAGGAATTGGTCCTTGTACAGGTCTACTAATGAGGAAGGGAATTATTGGAAACCAGTGTAATTAAATGGCAAGTGATGAATGAGATGATAGACTGGGCTTCATACTTTGGAGTTTTCTAAGCTAGCGTTGTTTTCTAAATCAGGTTCTAGTTTTGCATACCACTTCATTGGTATATTATCTAAAAGATAATTTATTGGAACATCGTCTTTAAGTTTACTAATACAAATCATACGATCTATTAATGTTACTGTAGGTGCGACCTTCATTTTTCCGGTCTGGTCATCTTAGAAGTTCCATTAAACTATGTTAGGGCTAATAATCTAAAGAAAACTCAGGAAGTAAAACCGTGGATTTTAAATCTTCCTCATTAGTAGTCCTGTACAAGAGCAAATTCCTTCCTCATCAGTAGTCCTGTGCAAGGGCTAATTACTTCCTCATCAGTAGTCCTGTACAAGGGCAAATTCCTTCCTCATCAGTAGTCCTGTACAAGGGAAAATTCCTTCCTCATTAGTAGTCCTGTACAAGGGCAAATTCCTTCCTCATCAGTAGTCCTGTACAAAGGCTAATTCCTTCCTGATCAGTAGTCCTGTACAAGGGAAAATTTCTTCCTGATCAGTAGTCCTGTACAAGGGCAAATTCCTTCCTCATCATTAGTCCTGTACAAGGGCTAATTCCTTCCTGATCGGTACTCCTGTACAAGGGAAAATTTCTTCCTGATCAGTAGTCCTGTACAAGGGCTAATTACTTCCTCATCAGTAGTCCTGTACAAGGGAAAATTCATTCCTGATCAGTAGTCCTGTACAAGGACAAATTGAAAAAAAAACATTAACAGACTTCTGACGTTGGCTATGTGTAAAGTTTATATAGCTTTTTGGTTGTTTTTCACTCATCATAATCATGATAGATTGGGATTCATATTTCTTTTCAGTATCATAAAAATTGTGTCTGTTGAATAATTTAAAAGGAAATTTAATAGCAACAATGGTATATATTCTTAAAAACCTATATCTATACAGGTTAAGATGTTATATCTCAGCTTCGTTACCGTCGATAAGTTCATTAAGATCTGCGCTGGGTATCAATTAATATTTTATGTCATTTAGTTTTGACAGAAGAACTTTTCATTAGAACCTGGAGGAATGTTATAACAATGTTCAGTATTAGTATTGTAATATTTAGACATATATGATTCGTTGTAAAAATACTTTTATTAAATAAATTGAAGGACAAAATGTTGAAATGGTAATTTTTTTTTATGCTGATACTTTATGTCTTTACTTTAGGTTCAATACATACTCGTTGCAAAGAAAATGGGCAATGTTTTTGTAAACCAGGAGTTGAAGGTCTGAGGTGTGACACATGTGAGAATGAGTTGTATGAGCTCGTTCCAGATGGATGCAGGTTTATTCTACTTTTACTACATTACCATTGTGTATTGTATAACTATTGTTTGGATAGTATTATCTGAAAGAACATACCTTGCCAACTAGCCTTCATGTAAAGTTTAGTTGTTATTATTGTTATTTTGATTACAGGTAAAAGCAGAATATGTTTCTCCAGTTTTCTGATGTGATTGTTTACTTTCTTCTAATTGCTTTATATTCTGTATAGACGCAGGCCTGGGACCGTTCAAACTGAAAAGGAGATCAATGCTCTGTCGTGTTTTTGTTATGGACATTCGTCTGTTTGCCAACGTGCTTTGGTTACGTGGAACATGTCATTATAAGCACGTTCAAAAAAGGTGTAGAACACTACATCTAGTGTAGATGAGTTGATTTATTTTTAATTATTTACTATAAAAAATTACTTCATTTTAAACGTGCATTTTTTATTGACGTACAGAATTGTCTGAGATGTCAGCATTGACATGTTTTACCTGTGAAAACTTAAACTATTCCGGTAAACATTAGTTCAACTTTTGATTTTTAAAATGATATCACTTTAAAAATGTAGTAACTTTTTCGTGCATTAAATACATTTACGTATGTAAAAATACATTATTTTTATTATACATGTACGCGCCACAATCGTGCCAGAAAAACTGTAACGAAATCAGTGTAAAATTATACATTTTATCATTTCGCAGTGAAACCCCTAGTGGCTCAGCGACACGTCTGAGGGCTCACACCACTAAAAAAAACGGGTATCAATACTCGTGGTAGTCACAACATAGATAGTCCATGTTGTATATCTTTGTGCTTAACCATAAACAAACAAAATTTATGGTGAAAATATCTGCGGCCATAGCGCCAAAAAGCATTCGATATTCCGTCTATCAGACATAATGAAAACCATAGATACAAAATTAGATACGATACGATAAGTAGCTAGAGTATGAGTGTTATAACCAACAACACAGAGAGAGTGTGTGTGTTTTTAGTAAAGCCACATCAGGCTATCTGCTATGTCCACCGAGGAGAATCCAACCTCTCATTTTAGCGTTGTAAATCAGTAGACTTACCGATGTCCTAGAGAGAGAAAGCTTTCTATATATTGGATATACTAAACATATTTTTTATAACAAATGCTTCACGAATCTAAATCTGTTGTCAAATCCTTCTTAATTGCTCGAATAGATTCTATTAAACACACCTTATTTTCTTCATAAGTATTCAGGATTTCCGATTAAAGCTGATATTTCACTAACTTCACTATTACTACAAAAATTTAAAAAAGTCGAACAAAACGTGGAGAAATATACTTTTAAATACCTTGTAGATACATCAAATAGCAAAAATATAACACTTATCTGCTGGAATCTGTTCTTATATGTACTTTTCACCTGTTTCTCCAGATAAAGAGGAGTGGACAGCACTGACCAGTAAAGGCGACACTGTACCTCTTCTCTATGACCCTATTCAACAAAGTATTCATATTTCATCTCTTCCGTCGTTCAACCAAACTGTATATTTCATTGCTTCTGGTAAGACAGCTGATCTATTTATTATTGCTTATTTTTAATTGAATATACTTCTTTAATGAAAGTCCCATTTAATATACACACACCCACATATATTGCAAAATTACGCAATTAATGGAATCATAATGATATCATAATATTACTATTTTTATGCTATTCTTCAATATTACTTCTGCTTTTTTGAACATGTATCAGTAACAATACTCACTGCTAAAGTAAGGACGGCTCGTCCAGATAGCCCACGTGTAGCGCTGCGCGAAATTGAAAACAAACCAAACCAGTAATAATATAGACGGTTGGGTTTATTGTTGAATAATCTAAGCCAAGCATCAATTTAGAAGTTACGTTCTTTCAAGCAAGTTCCCCGGAGGAACAGCGGTAAGTCTTCGGACTTACAATACTCAAATCACGGGTTATTAGTTCCCCTCGGTGGACACAGCAGATAGCCCAATGTAACTTCGCAATAAGAAAACACACACACACACACACTCTTTCAAGCAAAAGAGTGTGAAAGATATAAGAAAGTATACCAACGTTTCCTGATAGATATAATTTAGCAGACTCACTACTTACTGCCATCAAAAGCAATTTTCTTTGTTTTCGGATATTCGCGCAAAGCTAGTCAAGTTAACCGTCCCTAATTTTGAGCTGATAGACTAGACGGAAGGCAGCAAGTCAACACGACCTACAGCCAACTTATTGGATCTTATTGTCTGACCGTCACCTTTATAACGGAGTAACCTTTTCTCTTTTTTTTTCTGGCGGAAACGAGACGCGAACATTTGACTCCCAGGCCTATGGTAACATTTGACTCCCAGACCTATGGTAACATTTGACTCACAGATCTATGGTAATATTTGACTCCCAGATCTATAGTCACATTTGACTCCCTGGTCTATGGTAACATTTGATTCCCAGACATATGGTAACATTTGATTCCCAGACCTATGGTAACAATTGATTCCCAGACCTATGGTAACAATTGACTCCCAGACCTATGGTAACAATTGACTCCCAGACCTATGGTAACATTTGATTCCCATACCTATGGTAACATTTGACTCCCAGACCTATGGTAACATTTGACACCTAGACCTATGGTAACATTTTACTCCCAGACATATGGTAACATTTGATTCCCAGACCTATGGTAACATTTGACTCCCAGACCTATGGTAACATTTGACTCCCAGACCTATGGTAACATTTGATTCCCAGATCTATGGTAACATTTGACTCCCAGATCTATACTCCGGCACGTTAACTAGTGGACCACGCTGGCCGAAAAGAAGTCGCACGTATGAACCTAATTACTAATAATTCAACTTAATTTGCTAGAATGACAACTTAATTTAAAATTAACAGAGACGCTGTTTTTAAATACATTTTCTAAACTACTTATTCACAATATTCTTTGTGGATCCATAACATTCTTGCTTGGTCTCTGTTAACCCTTGAATCGCATAAAGAATGTACATAGATATACCATCAATATTACAAATAACTCTTCTAATGACTCCTGTGGTCTTCTAGAAGAATGTACATAGATATACCATCAATATTGCAAATAACTATTCTAATGAGTCCCGTGGTCTTCTAGAAGAATGTACATAGATATACCATCAATATTGCAAATAACTATTCTAATGACTCCTGTGGTCTTCTAGAAGAATGTACATAGATATACCATCAATATTGCAAATAACTATTCTAATGACTCCTGTGTTCTTCTAGAAGAATGTACATAGATATACCATCAATATTGCAAATAACTATTCTAATGACTCCTGTGGTCTTCTAGAAGAATGTACATAGATATACCATCAATATTGCAAATAACTATTCTAATGACTCCTGTGGTCTTCTATTATTTTAGATAGAAAAAAAGTGAGTTGGCCCCTTCCCCAATTCCTTAAATGGATGTTTTAATAGAAAAACAAAATTTATCAATGGGATGCATAAGTATACCACACCGATAGTGAACAATATAAAAATGAGTCAGTAACATGAAGGTTCAATATTCAACCAAGTTAAAAAAAAATGGTTGTGTTGGTTTGTACGCGTATAAAGGTCTTGTGTGATCGAATTGGTCTTTAATGCCAATTTTTTATATGATCTTCATCTAAGGGTATATATATAAATATATCTGGGTTATTTGAAAACAACAATTATTTGTTTCATTTAGATTGTTTTTGTACCTAATTGTGAAGTGATAGACTAGAGGAAAGGCAGGTAGTCAACGTCACACACCACCAACTCCGATCGAACGGCTGGATTTGACTGTTACTCTTGAAACACATCCACGGCCCCAAAGTGCAAAGTACGGTTATTTATTCTTTTGCGGTGACGGGACACAAACAATAGATCCACAGATCCACAGTCCAGTGCGCTAACCACTAGGCCACGCTCAGCCTCTTTTAAACAGAATTAGAAACTTTTAACGTGTCAGTGAATAGGTAATTTTTTTTAGAAGTCTTTCTTTCGTGTGTATTAGATAGACTAAAAGGTCGAATTTTGTCTGCTCTTTTAGTTTGGGCTGCGTATTGTCATTAGTCATTTTCACTGTTATATCAAATTTCTATTGTATAAGGCACTATGTTGACCTTAAAACACGCAAAACTGTACCTGTACTATAGTGCATATTGTACGATCATTTGTTCATCAATCATCTTATTAGGTTGTGTACTAGCTAGCAAAACTGTTAAATGCACCCATGTAAGAATAGCGAACAAGGACGATAACGTTATATTTTAAATATCACCTAATAAAAATGGTATTTTAATTATTGTTATTTATTTTTGTAGTACAGCAGACTTTTAAAGGTAATTGTTATTGGTCGTTTGTTCACATTGACCGGTTTGGCTTCAAGGAGATTATAAATCAGTTTTGACGGTGATTGTACATTGTACGGTTTAGAGTTCAACTTAGAAATGAGAGAAGATGAGCCGAAACGTCATTGAGATCCAGAAACGTGAGCGTAGAAGTATTCTTAAATTGCTATAAGAATGTATTAGAATGATGCTTTAGAAGTGTATTTGTTGGTTTTAAAGTTTGCTGTAAAACATTTTATGCTAAAAATGTAAGTATTTGTAAATTTTTGCGTAGACCAATATCTTGGAGATCAGCGATCATCTTATAACCAAGCTTTGAGTTTCACGTTGAAGACCAGAGAACCGAGGTTTACAGTATCTGCACATGATTTAGTTATTGAAGGTGAAAACATGAAGGTTTCAGTCTCCTTAACACAGCAGAATAACACTTTACCCAAGACTGGTGAAACGAGGTTCAAGTTTATATTAAATGAACAACCTGTATTTGGCTGGAAACCACAACTGGATACCTACAAATTCTTGACCGTTCTTTCAAATTTAACAGCCTTAAAAATTAGGGCTAACTTAAGTCCAGAAGGTAAGTCTTTATCTTGATTTTTTTTTAAAGTTGGATACAAATAGCCTAGACTGTAAAATATTAAAATAATACTGAAAATGTATTGAGTAATAGAAGTAAAGCATAAACAACTGCATATTTTTTAAACATTCTTTGTTGTACATCATTCCTAACAGCCCAAATTCAAGTACCGCGAAATAAAATTTTAAAATGATTTGCAAAATTTTACTAAATGCTCTATGTAAATATATATGTGAAAATATATTTTTATTTGTTAAACTGAAATTGTTGTGTACTTTAGAAACTTAAATCTGTCAAATGTAGTCTAGAAAAAAAAAGGTACTTCATTTTATGCTTTTGAAAATCTGGAAGAAAGGCCGAGTTTTATTTAATGAAGCTTTCATAAAATATATGAGGAATGTTTATTGTTTCTTACTAATAAACCGTTTATACAGACAAAATAAAGGATTAACCCTCATTAATGTTTAACGATTTCTATCCCTGGGTGATATACATGCAGAACTAAACTATTAAACTCAGTTAGTAGTCATACTCCTCTCTGCTTTTATCTTCTTTTTTTTGGGGGGGTTACTTGGTTAATGAGGGGGGTATTTTAGAAGCTGTTTATACTGGGTTAAACACAATATTTAATACTGTCTCCGTAATTATCGTAATAATTATAATAATCCCTTAGTATCGGCCCCACCCCTGTGGGACAGCGGTATGTCTGCGGACTTACAACGCTAGAAACCGAGTTTCGACATCCGTGGTGGACAGAGCGCAAATAACCCGTTGTGCAACTTTGTGCTTAATTACAAACAAACCCTCAGTATCTCAGATTACATAGCTATCTTCCATTTTATTACCATATTTTCTCTCTCTCTCTCTTTTTCAGTTTTTACTAAAAATACAGGTTCTATCTGTTTATAATTCATTAAATAATGCAAAATATGTCTGACTTTTACTGAAAGATGTATTAAATGATAGAATTAATAACACAGGTGTTGTCGGTATTTTATCCTCCGGAAATGACCTCGGGTTGATGTTTTACATTTTTTGTAATATTAGTATTCTTACTATAATATAACACATTCCAAAGAGCATAGATATTTATATCATATCACGTGATTACAAACGTTTTCGTGGTTTTCAAATATTGCAAAACTATAATGATATCGCAGCAAGGCGTATGGTTCAAGTAACGAATCAAAAAAAGAATACCCAACAAAGCTATTTACCCCAAGATTGATGTAGGCTTGCTTACATGATGGAATTAAAGTATAAACTGTTTTTGTTACATTACTGTCTCGGTTCTATAGTACTCTTTCGAAAGTACTGATACACAGACATTTTCAAACAAGAGGGAATCGTCAATAGCTGCGGCACTTGAAATTCTTATAGGCACGATTAGAGTAAATTAAGCTATGAGACCCTTTTTATTAGCTATATTTTTGTGCGCCAGCAATACCAAGTGTGGGTCGCGCGTATACCCGATTCGATTTTATTACTCATCAGGAACTCTACCAGTTTACCTATGGAGAGAAAAATTAAGATTTAGGACATTCGAAGAGCAATATTTTAGTTCGCCAAAGTTGAAAAAAACAAAAAGCTTAACAAGAAGGTATAGCATCCCAAATTTATTTATAATTAAACATTTAAAAAAAACAACAACAGAATATAAGCAGATTATAAGATTTACAAACTGGATAGCATAATTCGAATAGCTAAGAATCCACTTGTTGTGTTTTTTTTTATCTTAAATTAACTGTGGCTAGGCATGGCCAGGTTAGGTTCGACTCGTAATCTGAGGGTCGCGGGTTCGAATCCCTATTCCACCAAACATGCTCGTCTTTCAGCCGTGGAGGCATTATTATGCGACGGTCAATCACACTATTCGTTGGCAAAAGAGTTGCCCAAGAGTTGACTGTGGGTGATGATGACTAGCTGTCTTCCCTCTAGTCTTTCAATGCTAAATTAGGGATGGCTAGCGCAGATAGCTCTCGTGTAGCTTTGCGCGAAGTTCAAACCAAACCTTAAATGAATTATAAAAAAGTAGTTCATAAGTACTTTTTCTTATTCCTTACCAAACCCTGTGCGTTTTCTTTGTTCGCTAAACAGAAAGCCACACAATGGGCTATCTGTGCTCTGCCCATCATAGGTATCGAAATCCGATTCTTATCGTTATAATCACTCAGAAGTTTTGCTGAGCCATCTAGAAGATGGTGGTCCGATGGTTTGTGACAAAATACAAACTTAGTAAGTGTAACACCACGTACTTTGACTATATTATTGTTATAGTTAATACCGTTGCTAAGATTGTGACAAGACAGAAAAATTCTATGTGTTTCCTTGCTAATCAACTCTCGCGTACATATTGTTGGTTTTTTGTATTTATCGACTAAAATATAGGTTAGGACTTCTGGCTAAAATTTAAAATATCATTCTTTTAGTTTCAATTCGCACATAACATACAAAACTACCTGCTTATTCATTCATGTATAATTCAGTGTTTAAAAACAAACATCAAATAACGTTCTTTTAGCCATTTGCTCAATTAAGATATCTGAAATGTTATAATAGATATTGTATAGCATTCGAAAATGTTTGGTATTTAAACAATTAGCGTTTATACACTATATTTTATAAATATGTTGGAGCTTACTCTATAATAGTGGTATATTTTATCATGAGAACCTATATTATCTTAGAATTAAATCTGTTTGAGTAGAATTTCTGTATATAAATATATTTTGACAAATAATACATGCGGTAAACTGAACACTAGGTAAAAACGTTTATAGTATCATTCGAATATCACTTTCTGCAGCTGTTTTTTTTTTCTTAAATAACAAACATTTTTATAATACTTTCTTAACTGAAGTAAAAGACTTGACAATTTGAATAAAAATATTTTTGGCTCTATAATGGCTCTACCACTCCAAAATTTGACTAATAAAAGGTTTTTCTTTGGAAATAAAAACAGTAAATGTACATTTTTGTATATAATTTCAAATATATTTCTTAAGTGTAACGTGTTAATTCCTATGCAGTTATAATTGATTTAGTAAATTCCTAACAGGTTCTGGTAATTTCAAAAAACTTTAGGCAAAGTTCTTCAAACAGATGTATTCAGTTCTAAGTTTGAAGCTGTGCAAATAAAAAAAAATGAAACCTAAACAGTTTATCTCAGATGATTTGTTAGTATAAGCATTGTAGTTTGGAACATATTCCAAAGTTGTTTCATTTACACAAATAATATAACTTAATTTGTTAAAAAAAACTATGCCTTACCCCAGTTGTGTCAAAAATAAACCGTGTGGAATATTCTCTAAGAATCAATTAGTTGCTGTAAAGATGACATTGAAGCACACACTCTAGTACTGTAAGATATATATATATATATATATCTACTTTTTGAACAGTGTATGCCAAATCTTCATTAAAAACACAAGTAAGTGTCATGATTATTTACAAGCTTGCACAGTATATGAGTGACAATTATCTGCTGGTATTATATGTTAAGTTTTAAAATGTAACGCCCCCTAAGAGAAGAGAATTAGTTCAAAGTGGCTCTCAGAAGAAAAAGTTTACCATCCCTTCTTTATCCATTACGATTGTGTGTATATCTATACTTATATAAATGAATAAATTGCTTACAGACTATTAATTGCATTAATTGTTAATAGCCGATTAAATCAGCTATTAAACAGTAATGAATTAAATATTGCAATACCGTTATCGGTCCTGGTTGTCAACTTATTGTCATAACGGATTATGTTTGTGGTAATAGCACCCAAATGCGTTGGGGATATCCCATCTATCAGACAACATCCAAACGCCGATGTCAATCTAGTCAACCGTCGTGGAAAATTATTTTAAAAAATCATAAGCCAAATAAGGGTACGAAGCTGAGTGCTTACAGCCACAACGTCTCAGGTTCTACTGCCTTTCACTGTCTATAACCAGTTGTGGGAAGGCAGTTACCCTTAAATTTCTTAAAGTAGAAATGATTTGAAATAAAGCCACCCTAATATTTCTACTAATGAAACTCCCAACCTCCACCCTTACAAAAGATATTAAACAGAACTATAAAATATTGAATAGAACTAAATAGAACTATAAGACATTAAATAGAACTATAAAATATTGAATGGAGCTAAATAAAACTATAAGACATTAAACAGAACTATAAGATATTAAATAGAACTATAAAATATTGAATAGAGCTAAATAGAACTATAAGATATTCAACAGAACTAAATAGAACTATAAGATATTCAACAGAACTATAAGATATTAAAC